CGGTTCCCAGTGTTCTGTTTGATCGTTTCGTAGTCCACCGCCGTTGCTGGCGGAATAGGGCGAGTGTTCTCCCTTTTGAGTATGTTTTGGTTGAGTTCCCCGTTCTGGATTGTGATTGATGTCGTTATTCTTTGTCTGCCTGCGTCTGCCCGTGGATCGCCGCGACCTGGACGTGTCCTTCTCTGTGCTTCTTCCTTGTTGCTTGCACTTCGTCTATCGATTGCCGCGACCTGGATACGTTATTTTTTATTTTATTTTTTTTGTGCGTTCGTCAGTTGTCTTTTCGCTGCTTTCAACAATCGACATCGTCGACGATTCGAACTAGTCGAAGAATGGGTGGTGTTGTTTGCCTTTGAACACATAGAAAACGAGTTCCCCACGTTTCGTCGGTGACGTTTGCCTCTGGATACTTGGAAAAAGAGTTCCCCGAGTTCCGTCGTTTCCAACTGCCACCTTTGTTTCTGTAGCCTGGCCATCACGAGATGAGTTGACTACGCCCCATGCTCCGGACTTCTATACCGGATCCGTTGCGTCCCCTTCTCCTGCGGCCTTCATCGACGTTCGCCATCGCCCACTTCACTGGACTTTTTTCCGCCATCGTCACTTCGTGGCGTCGACTACATCATCATAGTCGAGATCCCGAGTTCTAGTGTTGTATGCATATTTATGTGTTTTCTGTTAATGTGTTGTGTGTTTGTGTTTCATTATCATCGCCCGTCTGTGCGAGATATAGGGTGGCTAGTCGCATCATTTTTCGACTTTGATCATTCGTGCCTCGTCCAGCCAGTGGTTTTACATGGTTTGGACTCCACGTTTCTTTGTGCAGTTTGGTTGGGGTGGTAATTAACGCCTCTCTTCCGTTTTGGCCATGAACGTTCTTCAGTCTTACCTTTTGTGGTCAGCTCATTCAACCGTAGTGTGCCCGTTGTCCTGTCCCACTGAATTTTGCGGGAGTAATTCTGGACTCTCTTGTGTCGCCACCCTCATTCCTCCAGTCGTAATACGCGCTTGCGCGCGAAATAGAGTGGTGTGTGGCGTTGATATTGATTACTTTTGTTTTTTGTGTTAAAACATGGTGCTTTGCAGCACATCTTGCCTAGCTATATCCCTCCATGGGTATAACCTTATCATTGAGTTGCCACTAGTTGTGTTTCCGCGTCATCGGAATCACCTTTTGTCTCAATGGTGGTGTGGGGGGTCGAGTCGGGATATTCCTACAGCTCCTCTTTCCTTTGGATACACTTGTGAAGAGTCATATCTTTCGATTCATGATCCTAAATCATCAGCTATTAGTAGCCCTATAGGATTTGAGTATAGAATCTGTATAGATGATCTTCAGGGTGGGCTAGTGTTAAGGAGTGTTGCTGTATGGCACAGATAGGGTACACAGTCGGTCTAGATTAAGATGGGGGACGTCAGGAGGTATACCCTCTTAGGACGTACCCCATCGGGACTTAGCTATCTGCGTGCCCCCAGGTTGAGGGCAATCCGCCTCACCTCAGACCTGTAGCAGACCCGCTTCTGCAATAACAAGCAACCTTCCCATCTCAACGTGCTCGTGGACAAGAGTGTCTACGGCAGAATCTACATCTACTACATCTAGGAGGCAAGCCACCGTCGGGCGGGCATTCCTTTAAACGTACCTACCAATGCCGAACTTAAAACTGAAGGAAATCATAACAATATTGATTGAATTCAACATTTCCTCCGTTCTCCTGTTACTTCCTTTGTGAAAATGCCAATACCTTGTCTCTCCAAAACTCTGACAAGAAGTTCCTGTCGTTGAACCGAAATCTTGTGAACATAATCTACTAAAAAAACGACATTTCTTTTAGTATATGTGATGTACCTACCAAATGCCTTGTAACAACTATACCTACGCTCATAAGATAATCCATTACATTCCTACTATTACAGTGCATCGACACTACATCCCCGTTTATCGTACACATATGTAGCTGACGGGGCTATCTGCAAGCTTGGAGCACTGAACGCGGCGGGGTCGGTGCTCCATATCGTCGCTCTCTTGCTGCTCTTCTTTTCTTTTCTATCTCTCTTCTGCAGCATCGATCCATTAAACGAAAGAATCTTTTTCTTTTTTTGTCGAGCCTTTGAGTATTGGTATTGAGTATTGTCGTAGTGCAATGTATTTGTTTGTTTGCTGTTGTGAACTGCTTGCCTGCGGTGTGACGCAGATGCGGTACACCATGCTTGTCGTTGAGCTCGATATGCGTGTACGTGGTTGCTGGTGGTTTAAGCATCGTCTGGCAGATAAGTTTGGTGCGTTCAGTCTTCACGTAGCTGGGATAGATATGGTTAGACTAGTGATAAGTGATGAATTTTTCGAGGTGTCGCTCTGGAAGTACTAATGCAATTCGTTTGTTTTATCCATTGTCTTTCGCCTCGTCTTTCGGTAACTTCACGACATTTCCGCCTGTAGTCTCAAAACAATTGAAAAACGAAATGCGATAGGTTCCATTCGTCTGTTTCGTGTTGTTTCTTTCTTTGTGGAACGCGCTGTTTGGGTGTCACGCGCACTGAAAAAAAAGCGCAACACAGATGATGCAGTGCATCGCTTTGAGAAGTGTTCCCATCCTAAGTAAGTACCATGCATTATCGTGGTGGATTACCGTGGCCGTTACCGCGGCATTGCCGTAGTGCCGACTGACCACCCAAATGTTACCCTGCATTCCGGTGGTGGCTAGTTCCAGTACGGGAGTTACCGTGCTGGGCGGTTGCCACCCAATTATTACCGTATTACCGTGTTCGATGATTCCCGTACCAATCGTTACCAAATTTAGAAATCGTTCCCGAGAGGAGCCTTGGATATTTTGACATGTCGTTTTGCGAATTTCTCGTCTGTCGTCTCCTGCAAACGTTGTATGAAGGTACTGTAGGCCTCTCCCTGTCCATCCCTGACGGTTGTATCGCTTCCATGATATACAGCACCGGCGTCAGGCAATGTCCGCTACCATGACTATGACACCGGAAGTATTGGGATGCCACGTGTCTGCAAATACAAATAGGTTGCGCCGCACCGGAGAGTGATGTTGTTGTTGTTAATCAATGTAATGTTAATCAATGTTTGTTTTTGTTGTTACGTCTTCACAATAACAACCGTTCCGGTCCCCGCTCAGTATCTTATAATGTCGGTACTGGCCCAACTGACGCGGACACCTTCCGTGGTCACAAGCCAACTGCCCCCGAAGGGGAGGAAGCTTTCTAAAAAACATATAATAAAAAAGTGGGCCCCAGACGAGTCCTCCAGGGCGCGATTTGCTTTCTACCCTAACGAAGAAACAACTAAGGAACTAACTGGGATACAGACGATTGACCCCTGTCAAAAGGGATGAAAAGAACGGAAGAAGACAAGATATGAATGATTTTTTAACCTAGTCCAAGTTCGTTTTTTATTTTCTTGCTTCAGTCGTGGCTCCCATATTAGAGGGAACCTAAGTGGGGGCTTCGATAAGGGTCAAGGGCCTTCGTTACACCACCCTCATACCGCAGTCAGACCTGTACAACAAACGAATGCATCTCTTCTTTTGGTATCCAACCTTGCCTCGGGCACCCGTGCTGGTCCTCCACAAGTTTTTCGTTTTTGGGGTGGTATCTCGCTTCCACCAGGCGGTACAAACGCGGAATTTCAGCTGAACTGAACCATAGTCATCACTTGTTACTCCCAGGTGACGCAAGGTAGTGTAGAGGATCCAGACGAGGTGAAGATTCGCACCAACCAATCAATACCAACTTGTGTCAACCTGTGTGTAACAAGTTGTGCGTGCCTATCTTGTTGCATCCTTGCGACGACGTTGTTGTCACGAAGAACGTGGTAGGAGCAGACGGACAACCATCGGCAATAATAATCAATCTGATGGGGAGAGCACAGACGAACTGCACAACAGAAGGAACTCATCTCTTACAAAATAAAAACAATTCTTCTCTTTCTATTTTGCCGCCTTAGTTGTTGGATTTTTTCGTACGATGACGCAACAAACATAATCCCCCCTCGTAGTACCACCCTCCGATCGATACCGCACCATGCGAACGGACATATCACACCGCGCCGTCACGCATGCAAACACATTAGCATCCCAAACTGCAACGTGCATGATCATCCATCGCATTCTGGCGCATGCGACAGGGTCGAGCGCCCCAGAACATCTCTCAGTTTTATGTTATGCAGTAGCCTTCCTTCTCTCTCTCCACGGCCAAACACGTCTCGGCGCAAGGGACTACCTGCCAGTCCCAGCGAGCCACGTCCGAAACACAGAGTTGCCAATACCTGGAGATGAGTGACAGGATACTGATAAGCTGTTTGGCGGTGGTCCCCACAACAAGGCACAACCACAGTAGGAGTATGCGCTCTTCCTCGATCCCCGGTGGCCAATCCCGCGGGGCGTGGACGCATCAGAATCGACAGACTCCCAGCACGTCCGTGTCTCCATCGGACCTGATGCTATAATATACGCTACTTATGTCAACACTCTCGGGTCGGCATGACATCAAGCATCAGCATCACCGGGCGGGGGAGAATCTCGTGCCCTTAACACCCTCCCCGCCCAAGTGCAACACTCACACCAGTAATTGCGAATACGACCACCACATACAGAATCCTTGTCCGTGGCCAAGAGTTTCATCTCTGGGTGTCTGTCCCAGAAATCATGAAGCACGAAGGGCCGTAGCGAAAAAACATAAATCTAGCAAGGAGCTTAGCTAAATATTCTCCGTCGCGCCACTTGTTGCACACGTTGCAGGCTCACGCCACGTTGGAATGCTGCATATCCCGAGCCCGCGCCACAGTCGAGTACCAAAACCGTGCCTTGAAACAACAATCCAACAGACACCATGTGCATACCTGCTTCAAACGCCCGCCTCGTCGAAGCTTGCTGCACCCAAGAGATCCACGCATAGCTCTAAATTACGCACCCTCTTGCTGAACCACACAGACGGTTCTTCCAAACCCCCCTCTCCTATCAAATATTTGCTCCGCCGCCGCAACTGTCACCATCTTGGACCGACCACCAGCGCCGGAGATTTTCGATCCCTCACTGGAGGGAGGAGATGCACTTGTAGAACTGCCGGTTGCCAACGCGCGATACGAATCGAGCAGTGTAGGGGTGTCAAGGTGCGCGTTTCGGAGCAGGTATATATTGAGTCTAGGAATCCGGCTGTGTGAGCACGTGAAAATCGGCGAGTGATCAACGTGAGGACGTTTATAGAGTCAAGTAACAGTAACACGTTCAGGTACTCTAGTCGGAAACAAACATGGTCTGCTCTGCAAAACCTTGTGCGTCCCGCCTCCTCCCGGAACGAGCAACCGTGGTGCCTCAGAGCACATGGGACGTACGAAATGAAAATCCGCTGCGGAGCCTGCCTTTTAGAGAATCGCCCAGAAAAAAAAAAACAGAAACAGAAAACAACAGAAAACAGGGAAAATATCGCATGTACAATACAGTAGCAAGTACTACAGGGAATACGGTGTGGCAAAAACAACACCACGTACATAGCTCTCCTCCGTTAAGAGTAGAAGCAAGGCGGGAAGGCTGTATCGAGTTTCGTGCAAAGCCGCTCACCCATATTGACTTCGCAGCTGACACCACCTTCTCCTGCTGTGTATCAACTCCCAGGTGTGTACTTGGATACAACGCGTGTGTACCTTTCGTCGTGTACCAGTTAAGATCCACTACAATCGACTACTACTCGTTGCTCCTGCTACTGCCCTTCATAAAGGATGCCCTACAACATGGCTGAGACACGCTGCAAACGGTCTCGACAACACTCTTAGATACACACCGTTCGAAGAAAAACAGGGAAGTTCTACCTGCATTGACTGCAACTCTACTGCTGTGCTGACCGCCGCCTGTTCATTTGCCTCGATGATACGTTACACACAAGAAAGACTAAACTCCATTGCTGTAAATCAGTATCACTCTTAACCTACTATCCTATGTATCCCCCTCCCCTTGAACGCGTTTCACTTACACGAAGAACAACATAACATTGTAGTTTTCAAAATGAGCGGGAAACAGCCACACTCAAATCTACAGTACGTCTCCAACTGCTGAATTTTTTTTGTGGTGCGTGTACATGTACAACAGTCCTACAGCTGTACATACTGTAGTCTATTCAAGTCGCCTACAACAGCAGCGAGGTACTCTCTAAAAACAGCAAGTTGTCCAACGACACTTCGCCATGTTCCCTGTGAACGCCACATTCCACACAAAAATAATAATGTATCCGCCTGTACAAATGCTTTTGTTTTTAGCTCCAACTGGCATTACTGATAACTCAGTGTTAGACTTACACGAACTCAAAACGTGCCAAGTCTCCAGTTGGTTTCTATCCACGTACTGAAAGGACTTCACCACATCCCTTTCGACTGAGGTACAGTATATCTCGGACGGGCAGTCTTTCTGCGAGGTTATGTTTACTTTCAAAAAAACAACAATCACCTTTCACAACAAAAATAAACTGCTGTGTGACCTTTCCTCCTGCGCGACCCCGGCTGATACGTCAGAAGCACTACACCGAAATGTGTGTACACTAGACTGACGCCAGACGGGTTGAACACACCCTCACGGGGTCTCAGATCATGGCCCTTCGACCATTTCCTATTTTCAGCCGCGCTCTTACTGACGCATCAGCATTGTTTTGCCGACAAGCGCGGTCGATGAACCAAAACACACATACACACACATGACTCTTTAGCTCTGACCTCTCCTAGGGCTTCGTCGATGTCCTCCATGGACGCCGCGTACGAAATCCGGATTCCCTTGGGGTAGCCAAACCCGTCCCCAGTCACCAAAGCCACGCTGTGCGCCCTGCGAAACAGGGCGGGCGGGCGGGCGGGCGGGCCGGAAGGAAGCACGAGCAACAAACGAAAGGGTTGAGGTCACACTCTCGAGCGACGGAACAACTTGCGCAAAATCGGAAAAAAAACTCCGCCGAGTTTTGGCCGAGACACAAATGATCGCCACCTCCTGTAGACAACCGGCCGTGCACGGGGAACACACGCGCAGCCCGTGATCGCGATGAAAAGAGCCGTCCAAGCAAAAACATGGGAGGAAACTGGGACGGGTGTTGCACGGGTCACCAGGGTTTTCTTGGTGGTTAAAAATCAAGCGGCTTGCCTCACACCCCAAGAAGTCACGCCAAGACAAGATTGACTGCGTCAGCTAAGCCGTAATCCTGCAGCCTTTTCTACGACAACCATCCTTGCGATACCCGATACTGAAAACTGAAACGCCCTTGTTTGGCCAACATGTTGCAAAACGAGCTCTTGGACGAGATTTTTTTCCGGTCCTCGAGCTGGTTAATACGCGGTGAGTTCTTCTCGAGGAACGTCGGGGGAACAAAACAAATGCGATACACGCGCGCGCGCACAACCGGGGAACCTCGCAGGCTACATACAATACTTTCCGCGCGTGTTGCTCCCGCAGTCTACGGCTGGACGATTCGCTACGGGCAGCTTGCAGTACGGCCGACGCCATCAAACAAACACACAGGCATCGCACACACGTGCGAACAAGGGTGTTGCGCGAAAATGCCCTGCTTCGTGTCAGGATTCATGCCTTCCTCATTGTAGAACCCGTTCGCATGGACGATGCAAACCAAAGAACAGAAACAAACAGGCGAGCTTTTGTGGAAGAGATGAATCCGTTGTGCCCTTGGAGGAGAAACAAAACAAAAACCACACACACGCACCAACACAGTGTCCCAGATCACGGTAACTAGACGCATTCTTGCTGTCAAGCGCACTGAGCTTGGCGTAACTCCACTGGTCAGCCGGTAATAGCGCGGTCGATGCTAGCCATTAACACCCGCACACAATACACTGCGCGCTTGATTGCTTCAAGGCAGCACAGCCATAGAGCGCACCGCACCGCAACAAGTAGAGGCAGAGGTCCGTGGCCCCTCCGATGGTCGTTCCGTCCGGCGCCGACTTTCCGAAGTGAGCGGACACGTCGGGGAAAACGTAGAACGCCCCCTCCGGCACCGCTGTCACGAGGTCGGGCATCTCCGACAGCCGCTTGAGTACGAAGTCGCGCTGCGACGCCAGGAGGTTACATGGAGTAAGCAAAAGCGCGGGGACAACAGAACCGCAACATCAAGCCAAGTGAATAAGGCGCAACCCCAACAGCTGAGAAGGTGACTTCGCCGAGTGTAGCGGGGCAACCGGTGCTTCGCGATGCTGCCGACGTACCGATCCTACGCGCTCGACCAGCTTATTCTTATTCTTTTCAGACAAACCCTTCTTCGACAAGACTAGATAACTCTTCGCTGTGGTTCCGAGGGGTTTCGTCCAAATGGAGGGGGGCGGTTTTCAGTCTTCTGACCGAGCGGAAGACAACCAATGTTACCGCCAAGTTGTTGTGACGCGAAAAAAACAAAATCGATGTGACTGCTTGCAAGTAAATTTGGCGAGTCACTACGGGAGCGTCGTACAGTCGTCGATTTTAATCAGGCATGACACCAAACTCCCGATAGAGTAGTGCACCACTCCTCAATGCCTCCTCCTGACCGTTGTGCGTTATCATGTTGCCTTCAAGTGTATATACCCCGAATGTTGCATAATTTACCGAACACACGTCACGGCTGCAGGGACGCTCGGAAACTACACCTGGCTCGCGTTTCAGGGCAGACCGCCAACGCTCCTCGGACGACATCGTTAAGAAAAGGGCGATAGGTACGGGGTCTTTAGACTACGTCCCGTAAATCTCTTGCCACTTCGCCGAACGGTGACAGGCCAGCCTTTCGCCCCGCCTCGTCAACTTTTTGTTCTACGGACGGCGTCAAAGCCGACTTCTATTGCCCCTTGCCCTACACCCTCACTCGGTGCTTTCCAACCCCGACTCATATCACGTCGAACCTATCCAAGAAAACGTCCCCCGGCCACAACTCGTTTGGGACATAGCGCGGGTGCAACAAGAACATTCGACCGGTACTCCATCACCCGATGAGGTCGGGAAATTACCTTGTTGCGCATGACGTCGAAGCTCAGCTGCATCTCCCCATCGGTAACGGCGAGGGCGGCGAGACCCGCGGCCTGCGATATCGAGCTCGCGCAGGACGTGATCTGCCCTTGGATCGTGGTAACCGCCTGGCCGTGCGGCAACGGCAACATAGCAGCGGCACACAAATGTTCGTCAGGCTTGTCGCGGTAGCCGCCTGGCTGTACGGCAAATAAAGAGCGCAAAAAATCGATTTTCAGAGCTGCTGCGGGAAACGCACGGCCGTATTGCAACAAATAGCGCAACACATGGCTATTACGGGAACCACCTCGCCGAACGGCAAAAGAACAGCGCGAAACACTGTAATGTTCGCCAGGGCTGTTGCGGTAACTGCCCGGCTGTACGGCAAAAAAAGAACGCAACACGCGTTTGAATGGCTGCTGCGGTAAACGCCTGGCTGTATTGCAACAAGCAGCGCAATGCATGACTTCCGTCAGGGCTGATGCGGTAACCGCCTGGCCGTACGGCAACAAAACAGACCGACACGCGTTCGTCAGGTTGTCACAGCGGGGCTTTCGTCACAAAATTGACAGCTGGAGTCAGTTGCCGACGAAAAGCTAATAAATTTGCTTCGCTTCCTTTGCGCGTGAGCAACACACCAGCCCTTTTGTTGGCGGTTCACATGCGTTTGCCTGAGGTTCCAAGCCAGGCATCCCAAACGTACACATTCAGCGCAACAAGAGAGACTCAGTCAGAGACGAAACTACCACGTCCTTAGGTCGCGATGGCATCTGTTGTCATACGCTGCTCGAAAGCCGATGCGGGGTCCCACGGATGTTTGAAGCCCCTCACCTTGGTGATGATAGGGGGTGCCGCGAGATACCCCAGCCGGTACCCCGTCATCGCGTGCGACTTGGAGAAACCGTTGACCTGCGTATCGTTCACATTTCGACGAGACGCAGTCGCAAAATCGGTACCAACCTGAGAAGTTTTGGCCGGCGAACAAGAACTGCTCGGTAAAGGCCCAACCTTCACCATTGCAATCATCGGATCGTCACGAATTTCAGCGTTGCAGCACTAACGCCATTGCATTGCCATCATCACTACCAACAACATAGATACAACACTCCACGGCCGCTACCAACAACAATAATGTCGCTCCTTAGCCACGCAAACGGCAAAAAAAGCGCGACGTACGGTCATGGTGCGCTCGAACATCCCTGGGAGCGAGGCGAACGCCACGTGCGGCGTGTCGTACGTGATGCGCTCGTAGATCTCGTCCGCCAACACCCAGCAGCCCGCCCCCTTACCCCCTTCCTCCGACAGCACCGCCGCGAGCTCTTCGCAGCGTTCCTTTGGGGGGGTCGGAAAGAGAGGCCGGGAGGCAGCAAGATTTCGGCGATATTGAGAAAAATCAAACAAAGACACACACCTCAGCCGTGGATCGTACACGAAACTATGAAGTGACCAATGCTCGACCGCGGCGACCGGAATAAGAAATTGAGCCTCGACCCCAAGTCGACGTTTCCTAAACGAGGGCGCTATTTTGTTGCTGTACTATTATAGCATTGGGCCCTAGGCCCCTGTTGTTGTTGTTGTTGTTATTGCAATCACATCACGAAACCGGTCTTGTTGTTCTCTAAAAAAAAACTGGACTGGAAGAATTTCAACTATACTACTAGGAGAGTTATGAAACAGCCCAACTGAGGGGACACTGGAAAACGAGGAGGCGGGGGTCAAGGAGGTAAGGACCGACGTGAGCGTGGACTGCTTCATGCTGTGCTTCATGACCTTGTTCTTCGACTTACGGTGATGGCGCTCCGTCCAGCAGGACCTCCAATGGCCTTGGGCAAGGGCACGAGTTTGTTGCATACCGACGACGACAGTATAAACACGCTGAACACCTAAAACACACAAGACTTCCGTGAAAGAAGCAGCGTCAGCCTGCAGCGGCGGCAACATTTTCCCCACAAACGTACCAGCGACGAAAACGTCCGTCAAACGAAGGCCGTCGAGACGAAGTCTTTCGAGACGAATCTGATCTTAATCGGTGCGTGAACACAAAGCCCAAAGGTGACCAGTACTCCAGACGGCAAAGGCCGCTCGCTCGCGCCACACCTTCGAGTGCACCGCTCCCGTGGGATTGCTGGGGTTGCAGAAGATGAGCATTCGCGTCTTGTCCGTTAACGCGCCCCTGAGCTTCTCCGCCGTCAACAAAAACTCCTCCTACACGAGAGACGGAGACAAACGACAGCGGGCGCACCGAATGGCGCGAGGCTGGGCAGTTGGAGACAGAGACAATGGGAGCCGAAGGCGGGTAGTGCAACTGACACGACAGCTACGGGCCAATGAACTGCTCTCGTTGTGCGGTAAGTGACGAACAAAAAAAAGAAACTTGGGTTGAAGGTGGTTCTAAGGCGGCTGGTGCAACTTATACGACAGTTACAGTGCGGCCAAAATATTGCTTTTGTTGTGCGGCGAACCAAGTGACAGAACAAAAAAAATAACTTCGTTTTCGGTTAAGACGCGGTGTCGGCAGTCATCCACAAGGCTAACAACAACCGCGTACAATTGCCCCCGCGTAGGTTTCCTTACCTCGACATTGGTCTCAATAATCACGGGCACCCCTCCCGCTAGCCGGACCATCTGCCGGCACGGAAAAAACGAACAGACATCGTGCAGGGGCACGGAGTAAATATTTCGTCACCGACGCTGAACTCTTCGTCGACATGCCTCTCGGGGACTACTCGCCAGAGACCAGACAGAGAGAAACACAGACACAAACAGAGAGCAAAGGAAACGCATTAATCGGTTCGAACGGTTCACTTCCATACCTTTGCTGCCGCGCACAAATGCAAGACATGTTAGGATTGCTTTGACAGATCGTGAGCGATTACCCAAGGGACTCCTAGCAACGTAGGCTGCGATTCGTTTACGGGCGGGGAGTCACTGAGTCAGGCAGAAGAGTGCGCCGGGACTTCGCCGGCCGACAATGCTCTACACCTGACCCAGGGGGTGCATACTTTCGCACCGTCGGGCACACTCCAAAGCCATCGCGAACCTCGACTGTGACCCCTGCTGTTGTCCATTTTGTCTGGCCACGTACACAAACAAGAGTTCTCGCCACCCACACCAAAACATCCCGCTCTGCTTCGAAACTACCTCCGAGCCAACAGTCACATCATTAGCTTTCCCCGTAACACCATTCCCAACAGCCTCTGAACAGGTACGAGCACGGCGGCGAAAAACAACAAGAACTGCGGTCTAAATCACCTCGGGGTAGCTGGGCCAGTAAGGAGCGGGCACGATGACCTCATCCCCCGGTCGCACCACCGCCAAGACGGCCTGGTAGACGGCCTGCTTAGCCCCGTTGGCGACGACGATGTCTCCCTCGGAGTACGTCAGCTTCTAACATCGCACAAACCGGCGGGGGGGGGGGGGGGGGGCGTACTCTTATGTTTGGCATGTCTTAGCGGTTAGACCATTGACCACGCGTCCTCGAGAGGACGGAGCATTGTTCCCACAGGACCGATCACCGATGGCCAATCGTTCCTTTCTACTTTGCCAAAGGTGGCTCAAAAATGTCTTCCCTAGTCTGTCTATCCTAACGATATCCCTTCCCGCCTTTTCAACCCACCTCCTATGCCCCACTACAGCTACCGTCCTTTCCTCTCTATTACATACCTCAAACATCTCCCTGTATGTCCCATCTATTTTACCCAGCTCAGTCACGTACACTTCCCTCTCCTTGTACAACGGGCATTCCGCGACTACATGAACACGGTCTTCGCATTCGAAGCCGCAATCACATTTGAACTC